GTGTTTGTATGTGTGTGTATGTGTGTGTGTGTGTGTGTGTGTGTGTATGTGTGTGTGTGTGTGTGTGTGTGTGTGTGTGTGTAAGAGAGGCAGAAAAACTTTGATGCTATTTCCTCATTTAAGCAGAAATATAAACCAATCTGCCGCTAACACTTAAAAGCTAGTCTCTACATTTTTACTTTATGCTTTTTAAAAGTTTAATAAAGAAAATTTTACCTGCAAGATGGCTCTTGCATATTGATGGAGTGTTCACATTTCCCGTGCATGCAGAAGCCATTGTAATGTTCTGGACAAGGTATGTGGTGTTCTCTGGCACTTTCTTCTAATTTGTTAGCATTCTCTGTGAATATAGATAAAAGCAAGCACCCCTGTAAATATTTTCTGTGCTGGAGGAAGATCAACCAGTACATTAACAAGAAAACCAACAGTAGGCACAGCTATTTAAAAGGGCAAGAACTAAAAGGAAGAAAGAGGGAGAGAGAATTGAAAGACAGACATCTTTACAATTATGTTTAGAGATGAAACTGCAAAATTACCCAAAGCTTTTCATGCTTTTATGCAATTTCCTACATCTTTAACAGCCACTGATGTGGCCATGAGTTTTCAGACAGCTTTAATTTTACTTGCATAGAGCCTGTACATTGATCATAAAATAATCCAAGAAGAAATTCTCTACTTTTTGAATTTTAAAGCATTACATCTCTGAGAGAAAATTGCTGAAATACCTCGATACTTTCTCAACATGAGAGTTTAAAAGTTAAAACATGGGCATGTTCAATTGTTAAACATTTTCCAAACCAAATGCAAATTTCAACAAATGCATCCTGTCATGCGCTTTTATAATATATTGTGAATTTGAAGGTTTTTTTTTGGTACTAGCATCCATACATTTTTATTGCCACAATAATGCAATTGAAAGATTAAAGATTGTTTTAGAATACCTTATATAGACAGCCACAAAGTACATGCTCAACACTCTAAGTTCATTTCAAACTATAAGGCTCTGTACCTCATCTGGGCAAAACAGTAGAGCTGGCCCTGGTGTGTTAGTGAAGGTAAGCAGGACCCAGGGTTGTGTGGGTAGAACTGGCTCCACTCCTTGCTGTCTGCTACATTGGGTGAACTAGGTAGGGTAGTGCTGGAGAGCTCGCCCATGTAGTGAGGGAAAAGCTAGCGGGGTGACCAATCCAACTACTACCCAGGCCCAGAACCAGGGCTATGAATTGGCCTAACCCAACATCCATCTCCTCTGTGAACTGCTGGAGTGTGTGAAGGGACCAGATCTGCAGATGCAAAGCTATAGATTTCCACGACATGTGGCAACAATAGGAAATTCAAGAGGAACCCCAGTGTCAAGGGTATAGTAGAAGCCAGAGGCCTGGAACCAGATCAATGACTCATTGCAATGAACACTTGCAAGTAAAGATATATGGACTAAAGGGTGTATGGTGTGACTCAGTGGGCCACACTACAGCCTCTACACCAAGATTTTTGTTTTTTGTTTGTTTTTGCTTTTAAATTTTTTTTTGGAGGGCAGGTTGCAAGGGGATGGGGAGATGGAGGAGATTGGAATGCATGGTTTGAAATCCAAAAAGAATCAATAAAAAGTTAAAAATAGAGAGAATGATTTGTGACATTTAAACTTAAGGAAAATGAAACACCTTATATTCTAAAATGAAACACTTCCACTGTCATTAGCAGTTTTGTTTTCTAATGCTTTTTAAAAGCCATATAGGTGCCTTCAGGCCTCCATTTGCTCAAATATATTGAATTCACATTTGTAATACCATCTCCAAGCAAGTGGTTCCTCAATTACTTCTGTGTTTATTTTATAATTATACAAGGTCTGGGCTGGAGAGATGGCTCAGTGGGAAGAGTGCTTGCTGTGCAAACATGAGGACCTGGGTTTGGCTTATATCATTAATGTAAAAGGCTAAGTGTGGCCACATGCATGCCTGCAACCCCAGTGCTATGGGTGTGGCTGGAGACAGAGGACTTCTAGGGCTCATGGACTGCCCCTGTTGGTACATATTCAGTGAGAAACTCTGACTCAGCGGAGTTAGGCAGACAGTGATAGGCGAGGACACATGATATTCTCTGGCACACACACACACACACACACACACACACAGGCGCGCGCGCGCGCACACACACACACACACACACACACGCGCGCGCGCGCGCACACACACACACACACACACAGGCACGTACACACACACACACACACACACACACTCATACATATACACAAACACACACACACACACAGACAGACAGGCACACACACACACACACACACACAGGCACGTACACACACACACACACACACTCACACATATACACAAACACACACACACACACACAGACAGACAGGCACACACACACACACACACACACACACACAGACAGACAGGCACACACACACACACACAGACAGGCACACACACTGAAACACATACAGTTTTGTCTTCATTGTTTCTTCTGGAATATGGTATTCTTGAAAATTCCTGCCTAGATAAATGTGAAGTATAACTTTATCAAACTCAACCTAAAAGTATTTTTCAATCCATAAGTATTCTTCAGCATCACAGTAACTGGTCAGCAGTAAGGAAAGATTGCAAGTTAATTACTGTTTTTATGGGATGGATTACTTCCCATTATCTCTACACAGGGGCACCATATTTTATTATAGTGTATCCTTATAATTTCACTGGCAGTCATGGATGATGAGCATATTCATCAGGAGAAGGATGAGTCTTTGCCATTCGCGAATTAGATGGATGTATTATTTATATTTAGGCAGAGCTGTAAAATATCTTTCTATACATTTTAAGATCTAGATGCCATCTGCAAATCATTAAACTTTGAAGCAAACTGTTAAAATATTTAGTGCTTTCTTTTATGAGGATATTTATGTATATTGCTCTGATGGGTAATAGTTCAAGTTTTATCCCTTAATTTACAAAGTATATATTGTAGCAATAGTAGAGGGATTTCAGGTGACATTTAGGACTTCATTTGTTTTATGTCTGTGTCATTTTAGCTATGGTGTAGTTGATGATCTTTTGCATTAAGATGTTTCTACACTAAAAATTGTTATTAGAATTTGTGAAATACTCCCATAGAAAAGATTGTGAGGATACAGGGATTGTTTCAGTTTTTCCCATTCTTTTAAGCATTGTTTACATTTTGACTAATTTCTTTTGTAGCAAATTATGCCCACAATAAGGTCACACAAGGAAATAAAAGTAAATACTGTAAAATTTCACTAAAATGGAATCAGGATGACAGCGTTATTTAGATGTATCTTGTAATGACCTGGTTATCTGAGAATCCACAGAGAAGGCTTATTTTTTTGTGCTGGGTCCAGGTGGCAACAACTGGAGTAGGCAACCCAGGCACTCACTTTTGAAAAAGGATTTTGAAGCTGTGGGGGTTGTCAGCCCCACTGCTAATGAAATGAGCCAGCACTGATTTCCACTCTTATTTCTGGATCTTCTTCACATTACAAACTATTCAACACTTCTATTTAGTGTTCGTTAGTAACACTCCAGTGCTTCTGCACACCTGTGTGCGAGGAACTTCTCTGACTTCCTGCATTTCAGTTACACACAGCCTTTTCTGTCAGAATGTATCTCATCTTATTAAAGGGCTGACTTTTTTTCTGCTAACTATAAAAGGCGATCAAGAATTTTCTTAACTGAAAACCTATTCCTGAGGCTATTTTTATAGTGTACTTTACCCCAAACTGACGGTTCTGTATTCAAAGTCCAAAATGTGAGCTGAGGTCTAAATTGCTAAATAGGAGCTTTTTTGAATGAAAGTATTGCCTTACTGTGCTAAGAGCTAGATTTTTTTCCTCTTTGCTGTCTAAGCAGTGGTAACATGGGAGGGAATAGTCTCCATTGGAAAGTCTTCTAATTAGTTTATATCAGTCCTTGTGAGCTTAGAGAGCTCTGTTTTGCTGCTCATGTGATACTGTCAAATAAGAAAGTAGAGAAATTGAAAATAAATGAGTAGAAGAAATGATTCCTGGGCAAGAAAATGAGGAGTCATCAATATATGTCAACAAATTTGTAGTCAACCCAACCAAGTAAGCCAGCTGATTGAAAACCCAAATATACAACTACTTCTAGTGATGCAATAGACATACTTTAGAAATGAGATTTAAGTATATTAAGACAAGCAGAACCACAGAAATCTAATATCTCAACAAATATATGTATGAGTCATGGTAAATATTTGTGAACCTGAAGTTTATGTACACTGAATATTCAAGCAACAACAAAGCATTTGGAGATTTGAAATTATATCAAAATGATACTATGGGGGTGTACATGTTTTTCTAGTGGCTGACAACTTAGACATTGATTTCTCTGTTTTCCATTTAAAAAGGTTTAATGTAAAGATTATACTCTCTCTTCCAGGAAAGGTTGTGAGTATGGTACAATCTTTTCATGCCTCTGTTAAACTCTGCATGAAGTTTCCTGTTTAAGTGTTTACACATGGTTTTTTTGGAGAGAGAACATGACCTTTCTAAGAAGTGATCTCTGGTATACCTTGAGTAATTTGTAGCAGAGCCAAAAAGGCACATGACCATTTCTAGGCAATAGCTGTCAAGGAATGTTGAGGATGGTTGTTCTTTAGTACAGTTACACATACTGCTGTTTGCAAAGGAAGACATATGTGAAAACCAGAGATAGAATGGAACAAGGCTAAGGCTTACCTGAAGTCAAGTCACTTAGGAGTGTGTAGAAAGGAATGAAAGACAAACTGATCATCTCAGACTTCTGTCAGTGCTGCTCAGAGTGAGGTGTGTTTGTGTGTTTTCCTTTTGTTCTATATCCTTGATGATGCCACTAAGCTGACAAACACTACCCAAAGATCAGTTTTGGACTACAAACTGCTCAGGACAATTTCAAGGAGGCTAGCTGAGATGGCCCAGCTTCATGCACTATTCCAGCCAGGATTTCAGATAAGGCCTACACTTTCCCATTACACAGAGACAGGAAACAAATGATACAGCTAGCTCTCCCAGGACTTTCCCATTATTTCAATTTTCTTAGTGTCCCCAAGGGATGCCATTGCCCTCCAGACAACAGGAAGCAATCTAGAGAACACAACACCCACATTTCTAAGAGGAGGAGTGGTGGTTTTTGGTCATTCAGTGGATTATGGATATTTGTCATTGTTTAGGGGGCTTGGTTACAAGTTGTTATTGGTAATGGTCAGGGAAAAATAGCTAAGCAAAGGAGATTAGATTCAGGGATCTTGTTCTGAAAAGAAAAAGGGGGATATAGAAATTATAGGATAAAGGGGTAGATTATTGAATCTACT